GAACCGTAGCCTCATGGTTGTGATTGAGTCGCTTGACGTATATATCTTTCAGCTGTAGCACCATTTCAGTGCCTGACTGCCATGCCACCCGAAGGAATCACGAGGGCTGAGATATTGTCAGGTTGCCAAAACCTAGACGGAAAAATCGAGAGGCCGTGGTCGGGTTCGAACCGCGGACCTTCCGGTCAGTAAATTCGCGCTGTAACCACTGAGCAATCTCGGTCCCCGATTGACGTAGTAGATTTGTGTATCCTGGCAGATGTATCAGTGCGTTTGGTCTCTCGAAAGGGGGTGTTACCATGCGGATTGGGGGGGGGGGCAGAACACTTTCCTTGAACATGTTTCACCAGTGTTATAGGCATGACATCAGATTATCCACCCGGGCTCGAACTTACAATGCTGCGGTGCGCTCTGTACTATTGTACGGCCGTTTTGCGCGGCGGACATACACTTTTTGACCATCGATGTCTTCGGAGCATTGCTCGAGTTGGTGGGAACACTGGATTAATAATGCTGAAACATATCAAATGGTTTTCGGGAGAACTAATTCACCCGCGATGGATGAGGTGATCACACTCCATAGGTTGCGCTGGCTTGGTCACGTGCTGCGTATTGCTGTCGACCGACTTTCTCGAAGGGTTCTTTTCGCACAACCACGTGAAGAGTAGAAATGAGCCAGGGGAGGTCAAACAATGGCTTGGCGGCGAATGTTCCCTGAATGGGGACCCCGATATGTGACATATCGATGGTAAGATACATTGTCAGATATGGCCCAGTCGCGAGATTGATGGCGCTTGTGCGTCCAACCTATTGCCTTATATCCGTAGTTTCCATCCCAATGCCCTGAATGAAAAGTCCACTGACAACCATGTGTTTACGCATAAATTGTATCGGCTACCGCATCCAATGCGCAGCTATCTGCTCCACCTCCGCAAATCATCGGTGAACAAAACTGGCAGCTATGACCATTGTTAGAAACGTATGCGTTTTCACACCTGATGATGATGACGATCACGTAAATTTTGCAGGTCAGTGACTGAGGGCTTAAGCCGTGTATGCCGCCAATCAACATTTGCAGTTCTTGAATTTAAAGAAGCCTTCTTTTCTGTGCATTTGTTAGCTCTCCTAAATATTCTTGGCTGGGGAGGGATCCCGTTGTATTTCGTAAGCATTCTTCGCGACCTCCGGTCGGCTTAGGGTGTACAAATAGCCATCCAAAGGCTTCCTGCAGCTGGCGAAGTTCGTCAGGTTTATTCACGCCCATCTTTCGTTCACTTTGTCTTCGGCGTTGTATTTGGATGCATACCACAATAAACTGAATCGTGTCTATAGAGAGATTATTGAATTTACTTCATACGGCCGACATCGTTTTGTTGTTTGATGATTATTAGTCCACGCGAAGTACTTTTAAACAGAATATCGCGGGAGATTCCATGTCGTCTTTCACCTTCAAAGTGAAGTCATACCTGAAGGCCCCCCATCCCCATGTGCTCCCGTGAAAATATAGAACAAATAGTTTGTTGATTGTTACACACATGGTAGCCGCATGAGCCGTGGTTGTGCTGTAACGGCTAGAGATAATGAGCGAATGATCAGGGCGATAGCAGCACTGTCTAACTTGTGTTATGTGCGGGGTCGGAATTGAGCGGAAACCATGTGTAAGAGACAACTGTATGTACTTTATGGTTGTGAAACCTTAGGCGTCTTAGGGTTTTTGAACATCACTATTAGGTATCTGCATTCGATACGTAACGAAGCGGTGTGTAAACAGAAACTTGATGGATAACCCAAAACATTATACTAGCAGATTGAACTTAGCAGCTTGAGGTGGTCGAAGGATATATTACGTATGCCGAACCACTGTCTACTCAAGAAAACGTTGCTTTTAAGCCAGTGTTCATAAAATATTCACTTGGGACAGGTGCCCAGCGTGAAACGAGGACGGCTTCGGTTAAACAGAGTGCTGTGGCATCTTCGCGCATTTCTGGGTGAGGCCCGTTAAAAACCTCCCAGGACATGGCACCGGTCTCACTGACACATATGTTGCCATTTCTTGGTCCAACTGACTATCTAAAGTTCGCCAGTCGTTTTGTGCTGCGCTGATGTCTGGTTTCGCAAAGTCAGTCTCTCCAACAGCGTTTTAATTCAATATGATGCTCAAAATTGTTTATTTCAACGTTTTCCAAAAGATCTGAACACATTATCCGTGATCGTTTCCCTTAAGGACCTTGGGCTTCTTTACACTAACTTTCCACTCCTTGCTCTTTGTACTATTTATTAGGGCTTTATTCCCCCAACGGTTATTTGGCGGTTATGCCCCGGTATTCCTTAGTGTTGTATTGCTATCAGTAATAATGAACGATTCATGGAACATTGAGCTTATATGGCATCTCTACGAATGCCATTACCCTAGCACTTGAACGAATCTGAAACAATGGTCGACAAGATTCCTTCCGGGCCAGTGTCATGCCTTCTCAGGTCCTATCTTAACGTGCCATCGTAGAACTGCTTAAAATAGGCCATATAAAGAGGTTAGCCACAACGGGGATCAAGCTAGTTTCTCGACGATGGCCACATTCAGTGCGAGTACCTTTCATGAAAATGAACACTACTGTGGACACATACCAGTTGATTGGAGTGTTTTGACTCAGCCAAACGGCGGTAGTGATAGCTCTTCCGAGACCTTGTGCTGGACTCCTTGGAAACGTTTTACTTTATTTTCTTGCATGAGCACCACCCACATGGTTTCGAAAGACTTTTCGACAGCCCACGGCCGTTTTAGCTCTCCTTGGGGCTCATCTGACGGACGCAGTCTTCGAATGTCTCTCAGCCTTGTTTTCTACTTTACTTTGGATTGTGTATATCTCATGGAGGAGACTTCGGTAGGCCGTATTAGTTTTGGTGAGAACCTTTCGGGCTTCTCGCTTAAGGTGATACAGTGCCTGAAGCAATGTTGGTGCATTCACCGTTCCCTTATGTCTGTTCAGCTTCTCCCAGCCAGTTGGACTTAAGAATCTCATGGGTTTTTGGTAGTCCAGACTGACTCTGCACCACTGCATTGACAGCGAGCTCCATAAGTCTGTACTGTTGGCCTAAGTTTTTTCCCATTTCAATCTGTTCCACATTACCATTCTGTCTCTTTTAGTCTGCTCCTACGACAACTCCGTCGGCCGATGTGGTGTCATTTTTACGACAACATGGAGTTAGTGATTCAATCATTCGCTTGTTTGAGGAGCATCAGATTGACAGTTTGTCGTTTATTCTGCTTACGGAACAAGATATGAAAGAAATGCAGATTTCCTCAATCGGACAACGTAAACATTTAATGGTCCTAGCGGCAACTTGGCGGCGCATGGTGGAGCGAGAACACTGCGTTACTGATCCGTTACTGGATTGGCTGGGTGACTCCCACAAGTCTGTTTTGTCTCAGCGACATGGTACTTCGGGTCTTATAAATGGTGTTGTGCCCGCTCAGTGTGATTGCGGGGACCTCAAATGTCATACTGCCAGTGGAGATTACCATCCGTTTTTAGATGTCCTAGGAGAGAGTGACTTAGATTCGTCGCAAAAAGGTCAAGTTGAATCCAGCCCACAGCTTTTCAAACTAGCATTGAGTGCCTTTTACGTTTTTCTCGTGGCTGGATTGACGTCGTTCGTGATGGTGGCTGCACATGAGCGTTTACCGGATATTTCAAAGTACCCACCATTACCAGATCTGTTTTTGGACAATCTTCCCTACATACGATGGGCTTTCAAAGCCGCCGAATGTGTCGGTGTGGTACTCATGTGTATCTGGTCTACAATACTAATCTTTCATCGCTATCGATTCATCCTCCTTCGCAGATTTTTTGCACTCCTTGGTACAGTATTCCTATTGCGCAGTATCACAATGATCATTACGTCACTTAGTGTCCCCGGACTGCATTTAACTGAACAATGCACGCCTAACGTGTTTGAAAACAGTACGGCCAGGTTGAAGCGTGTGATGGAAATTTGGCTCGGAATGGGGATGTCTATTCGAGGTATACACACCTGTGGTGACTACATGTTCAGCGGGCACACAACCGTCCTCACTCTTTTAAATTTTTTCATCACGGAATACTCTCCGCGGTGGTTTAACATGCTACACACATTCTCATGGGTGCTCAACTTGTTTGGGGTATTTTTCATCCTTGCCAGTCATGAGCACTACTCAATTGATGTGTTTGTTGCAATCTACGTATCCTCACGGCTATTCCTCTATTATCACTGTCTGGCTAACAGTAGGATTTTACATCAGGAGGATAAGAACCGTGCAATGATCTGGTTTCCACTGTTTTCCTTTCTCGAGTATGATGTGAATGGAATAGTACCCAATTCGTACGAAATACCGTTCTATTCTTATTGGACTCGTTCGGTGAACAAACCTCTAAACCGTTCTACTACCCAAGATCCCATTCGAATAACTACCACTCCATCATCTTACATGAAATCCGCCTCTAAGCTACTCGATACCTATCCCACATGCTCTGCTGCTCAAGAAGAAAGACTCACGTCGACACCTGTTAACCATGAGAAACTTTCTTGACAGTATTTCTAATCATTTATTCTTATTATTACCTTTTCGTTTGCTCCTATTAGTTGGGAGTTAATCCACCATCGTTCAATTTTTCACCTTCTCGAGATGGTTAATTCATTGAATTTCTCTTGTTTGTTGAATCAGTATTTTGGTTATCTAGTTGCTTTGTTTACTTTTGGGTCTGTTGGTCGATATTGCGGTCCATATGTGGCAGAGGCTAAGCGTCCACATATGTGACTTTACTTTTGGGTCTGTTGGTCGATATTGCAGAGGGTAAGCGTCCACATATGTGAACCGGTTGATAGCTTGACTGTAGTCGACAATCATCCGGCGTCTGTGATGGACAGTCTTGGTAACCAAAACTTTAGCTCTCCGGGTAGACGTTACTGGCTCGATCATGCCTTGTAATAGTCAGTCAACTTCGATACAAGTGGATTCCTCGTCATCCGGATGGCGTCTCGACTTGATTACAACAGGATCGCAGGGATAAGTCGGCGAAGAGTGATGGGAATTCAACGTTCACTGCCGTCAGGCCATAGATGGTGAACGCATCGGGATCCCCACCGAATGAAATTTCTCTGTGGACGTGTAGACCTAGGAAATCATGCCTGAGTAGAACGTTGGTGCAGAGGTTTGGCATTGCAAATGGCTGTAATTCATTGTTCCTGTCTAGGTGTGGGCGCCCTGGCAGTATCCCAGCCCACGTACAACCATGAATTGCACATACACAAATAAACTCATGCCACAT